TAGGAACGGCGTCTTCGCAATTTACTTCCTTCTATACTCCGGTTTTCCTATTAGTAATTAAGTATATTCTAGGACGTAAGCGGCTACCTTCCTTCTAATTAATATTTAAGTTATATATAATATATTATAAATACCCTAGGATTATATCCTTAAATAGCCCTATTTTAACGATATTAAAACTAATTTCGACCGTCTTACTTTCTATTATAATAAGGAATAATAATATTTCCCGTTTTATAATCTATATTTCGAAAGGCCCTTTTACTATAAAGGGTACTTTTTTCTTTTTCTAGGGAATTTTTAATTATAAAACGAACTTAGGTATAATAAAATTTAATTAAGCTTCAGAATCTACTAATATAAATACTTAATAATTTTATTAGTAAATTATAATTTTAAACCTCTAGTCCTATTTCCCTTCTTTTATAATTATAATTTTTATAAATATTATAGGGTTCCGGATTTTATCTCTTTAACGGCTATATCGCCGGATAATCCGTTTTATTTAAGGATTTAATTTTCGTCGGGCCTCCCTAAAGGCCCTAAACCGTTTCCCAATTTTTAATAATAATTATTAAGAGCGTCCTCTTTCTTAAATTTAAATTCGTCTAGCGAATTATATTCTTATAATTATACTATATATACGGCTTCCTCTTTATCTTTATACTCGATTATTCTAACTTTCCGGATATAATTATTAAATTCCTTCTTAATATTCTAAGCTTTCTATTTTATATAAATAGGGTAATCGAATATTGGGTACTATTATTAATAGTAGTCGGTTTTTCCCTATCCTATATAAGTATAAATATTATAGGAGCGAATAATAAATCTCTTAAGTAATAGCTATTTATTAACCTTTACGAAAGGTTGTAAATTAAATACGAACTATTTATTAATAATAAGGGTAGTTTATAAATCGCTTCGGTTGAAAGTATATATAATTAATCTAAATTATCCTTACTAATTTAACCTTCTAATAGGTTAGAAACGGTTATTCTACTTATTCCTAAAATATTCGTTGTAATTATTAGTAATATATTAGAACTATAGTATCCGGTAGTAAATATAATAAAGGGGATATATTTAAACTATATCTCTTTTAATTAGTTAATATACTTTTAAAGGCTCTAAAATTCTTTTTTAAATAGCTTTAGGCTCCCCTTTAATAATAATTATACGCTTCTTCTAAAAGTCGTCCTACAATTCGTCCTTCCCGCTTTTATTTAAATAATATTATAATAACTCTATTTAATACTTATTAGTAAAATTATTAGGGTATTTATATTAATATAAATCAATAAATTTGAAGATATAGTATTCCTTAATTATAGAGGTTAGCAGAGGTATTGGGGGAGGGGTAGTATTTATTATATATATAATCGTAAAGAAAATTCGGTTAATATTAGGGAAATTACCAATTTTTTCCTATATTAGGGTTTAGTACATTTATACCTAGGGTATATTAATATTTTATACCTCTTCTTTAAGATCTTCCTTATTAGGCCCTTCCTAATTATATTTATCGTCGGCCTTCTACTATACTTCCTAATCGAAGTCTATAACTCTATCTATAGTATTTTCTAAATTATTTTAGCTATATTCGGTGCTAGCGATTTTAATTACCCTAATTCCTTCTACTATAACGGTTTCTATTTTTTTCTAATTTAATTATTTAGGCGTACAGTAATTTCTCTTTATATATCTATTTTTATTATAATTAAAGTATTTAACTTTTAAAAGGTCCTACTTATTTTAATCAATTTAAACTATATTAATTTCTATAGGCCCGGAGTAAGTAGTTCTAGAGATATAAATTCCCTAAATCTTTTTTTTTTAATATTAATATTATTAAACTTAAGAGAAACGAAAGTAGTTGTCTTTCCTTTCTTCTCCTATTCCTATTAGAATTATCAATTGTCGATATAAATAGTTTTATTTATATAGGCGTTAATAATTTTAGGGCGGTCCTCCTTATAGAATTCGTCCTTAATTCGTTCTTTAAGGCTATTATAGAATAATTATATTAATTTATTATTATTAATATTACTACAAAGGGAATTTTATTTAAAAAGTATAATATAAGTTAAAGTAAATTTAATTTATTAAAAATAGGTTAGGCGTTTTTAAACCCTACGAATTTTATCCTTCTTTCTAAAGATTTAAGAGAGGGCTTAAATAAATTCCTTATAAGAATTTAAAATTTTCTTAGTAAAATCCGAAATTTAGTTTCCGTTCTTATAGTAGTCTTTAAGGATAGGCTTATACTAAATAAGGGCTTTATCTACGAATCGAATACTTACGTAGGCTACCTTCTCGAATTTAGAGGTAAACCGATTTCTATAAAAATAGAGGTAAATATATATTTAAATTAAGAATCCTATAAAAGCGGCCTATTAGCTATCGAACTCTTTAGGTATAAATAATTTAATTTTTAGTCTATTGATAGGGGTAGTTCCCTCTCCTACCTTCGCTTTAGGGGTACTAGGTCTAACCTTAAATTAAATTTCAAATTAGAGAATACGTTCTTATATAGCCTTAAACTATTATTAAACAGTAGCGAAATTTAAGGGCTTACCCTAAGTATTATCATTATTATTTCCGGTAGTAGTAAATATAATAAAACGAAAATAATACTTTCAATATTATCCGAAATAGGTTAAAGGGAGTAGTTAATATATAATAAATAGTAGTTTAATTTATTAAATAAGATAATTAAAAGTATAAAAACTATTAATACTATTCGGTAAAACTAAAAGGTTTACAATAAGTACACGTACGTAATACTAGTTTCGGTAATAAGAATTAATTTGTATTAATTACTTTCGAACTATCTAATAATCTGAGTTTTCTAGTCGCCTTTTTATACTGTATATTCCCGAACGCCTTTCGTAGTATAGTAAGCCCAGCTCACCTCTATAGTTGAGGGTTACTTCTGTCGTTGTAAGCCCGGCTTACTATTGTAAGCCTGGCTCACTTATACTAACCGTAAGCCTTCCTTACACTGTGAGCCCATCCTGGCCTATAGTTGCACAGTCTAACCCTTTTTGGCAGCTTGTGCTCCCAAGGGCCTAGTTGGCCCGCGAACTCGCTTAAGTTCGTAACAATATACTAAAGATAAATTAAGAAGTATACTAAAAAAAGACCTTTTAGTCTTTATATTTATTGAAAGAAAAGCTGAAAAAAGCTTTAAATAACAAAGATAATTATTAATATCAGAACTGCATTTCTCAAGACTTTATTAACGGTCTTATTAAACTAATATCTAACTTCTTAAAATATTAGAAAAGTAAAAAGCTAATATACTTAATACTAAGGTAAACTTCTACCTTTCATTTGTATTAAGAATTATTCTAAAATATCCACATTTGGCAGTGGAATGCACTTTAGAATTATTGTAGTAAATGCATCACATTGTGCATTGGAGGGTAAGGACAGTATTTTTTAACTATAAGTTTACTTTATACTTTTCAATCCAAATATATAGAATTGTAATACAGCCCTAATATCTATTATCAAGTACTTAAAATATATTTATAATATTATTTTATATATACTTTACTAATTTTTACTGGTATTACTAAGTTATTTATTTGTTTTTTTAATTTCTAATATTATACATTGCTTATTATAGGCAAAGGGTAGATGGTAGATATAAATATGTATAATTGTACGAAGGAGAAAGGAAGAGAAGTATATAGCCGAGTACTTAAAAGGCTGGCCTTATAAGGGCGACCGCCGGCGGGTCTACGGACCCCGCGGTAGGCAGCACTCTAATTAATCAATTGCTGGCAACAATAGTAGCCGGTAGTAATAATAGCGTACAGCAATCTTAGAAGCTGTTGTACGCTGGCACTAGGTACAAAGTATATAGGCTAACCCTATAACACTTCCCCGGACTAAAAGAAGCTATATAGCTAACTAATATTATATAAAATAATAGAAATCCCTATTAAACGAGCGGTCCATTTTTAAAAAGCCTTTACCGCCGTTGTTAGCGGGTACCGTTGTAACCTCCGCTATAGAATTAAAGCCTTCCGCTCTACCTCCTTCTCCCTTTTATAATTTTATTTCCGCCTTTTCTCCGCCGTTACCCAATCCGGGGGGTATAGTATATTAGGGTAGCTATCGTAGAAAGCCTATACTATATTAAGGGCTATAAATATATTAGTGCGTAGTTACTATAATGGTATATATAGGGGTATTTAAACTATAAAGTATTTTTAACAATCTTAATTATTCTTCTAATATTTATTAATTCTTTTGAATTTATATTCGATAGAGTCCTCCCTATTATTAGTTCTCCTTATAGTCCAACTATAGTTAGTACGAACGTTTTATTCTTCTACGGCTATCCATTCCGGGAAACCCTCTTTGTCCTATAATTTAACTTTATTTACGTAGAACGTTGGACTATATTTTATATTAATTAGGAGTTTAAGCGTTATTTAATAATTATTTGTCCGGAGGATTTCGAATGGGCCTTCGAAGAGGGGTATAAATTTGGTATAGGGTTGGCTAGTATCGAGGTTTTTGGTATTAAGAAGGACTTTATTTCCTTCTTTATACTTTAATATATTCGATTATGAAGTATTCGTATTATTTTTGTAGCGTTATTATATTTATTAAGCTTAATTTATAACGAAGTTTAAGACCCTTCTAAATTAGTTAGTTAGTTTATTAATTTTAAAGTATTTTATTTATTATATTGCTAAAAGCTCTAATAAACATAGTTTTACTAGTTTAATACTTAAATAGGGGTAAAAATTATAGTTAGTAAAGAAGGGGGAGATATTTATAATTTTAAAAATAGAATTATTATTAGCGAACTCTATAATTAGTAGCTAATTCACCTAATTATTTTAAGCCTAATTAATATAAAGGTAGAAATACTTTTCTATTTTTATATTAATATATTCGGTTTATCCGTTAGTAGCGAGGTGAAAAGTGGAGGAAGGTTTAAATATAATTTCTAACTGTAATAAAAAAGCCCTTTAAAATTATAAAATAAATTGAGTATTATAATTGGATACGATAGAGTCCGGTAGATTGTAAATACTATAGATTTTCTTAATAAAGTACTCTATTAATTTTTTTACTATTAGATTAACGGTAGGAATATAGTATTTTATTTTAGTAAGGCGATTAATAATAATAATAATATATTTAAATTCCTATTTGCAGCGTAGGTAGGGCGTAAGCGGGGTAATATAATCGACCAAAATATCCTTCTATAGTACGAATAATACTATTAACGGTTTTAAGAAATTATAGGGGGCGTATTACAACGGTTTCAATTTAATATATACTAAGTAAGCCTTATAATATAACCTAATAGTAATATATATTTTTGATTAAAAAAAAGATTATAATAATAACAAATAGGTTTTTTTCTAACTTAGGTGCCTAGTAAATAGCGAATTGTAAATATAGTAGAAGAGCGAAAGGTAAAGTTCTATATCGGTAGGGTCGATAAAAATAGCGCTACGGAAGTACGTTCGTCCTTAAATTATTCGGTATTTAATAAAGGGGACCCTTTTTATATAGTCCTTAACTTCTTTAAACTATATTCGACGGTTAAGGTCTAATAAATAAGTAATAACGTTTTAGAGAATTATTAACTTCTTATAACCTTCTACTATTAAATTATCTATAGACCTCTTGTTTAAAGTTTCTAAATTATAAATATATTTAGTACCGATATTAATTTCCTTATTTCCGTCTTCTAAAACGAAGGCTCTATTAATAAAGATATTATAATCGAATAAAACTTTATTTTTAATTAATAACCGTTCGTCGGATATATTTTTAAGTAAGTCTTCTAATTTCCTATTTAATACGTCGGGGTATATTTATAAGGATTTAGAGCGGTATTTAATTATAAAATCAAAATGGGAGAGAAATTGGGATTAATATATATAATAGGGGGTAAATTGCTTATTAATTATAAATATCTTCAAACTTTTATAGTTGGTAAGGATTTTGAAAGGTTTTTAAACCCCTTCTAATTCCGGGTACTATTTTTCGAGGGCTTTAATAATAGTTAGTAATTCTTTATTATAAATATTATAATTATATTTAATTGTAGAATACCGCTAGTTAAAGTAAATAATTAAATATAAATTACCCTCTTCGTTGTATTAGGATAATATATCACTATAAATTTAGTTCGAGGTATCTATTTTAATAATGGTTTATTTAGACTAATTATAAATCCGGAGTATTAAATTACTACTAAAAGCCTTCTTAAAAGCCTTAAACAATTTTTAATAGTAGTCGGTCTATAGTTAATCTATCGACTTCTTTATTAATTCGTATAATAAATTAGCGATAATTAAAAAGTATTTAGTAAATTGCTAGTAAAAATTAATAAAACTTAGGAAACGCTATAGCGCTCTTTTAATTTTTAGAACTTCCTAAATTTCTACGGCGGTTACTTTATTAGTGTCTATTTCGAATCCTCCCGGTATAATAATTAAACTAAAATATTTCGTCCTTATAATATAGAATTTGTATTTATTAATATTAATCTAAAGCCCCGTTCGAATTATCCGCTGTAAGACCTCTTTAACGTAGCTTTCGTAATCTTCTTCGTTATCCAAATAGACTAGAATATTATCGAAATATATTATTATATATATATTAAAAATATTGTATAGAATATTATTAATATAGTTCTAGAAGGTTCCCGGGGCGCTTTAGAGGCCAAACAGGTAAACAATAGATTTGTAGAGATTAAAACGGGTAATAAAAATAGTAAACTATTTATACCCCTCCTTTATATAGATCCTATTAAACGTAGTAATTATATTGAATTTAATAAAGATCTTTACTTAGTAAATAACGTCGAAGGTTTCTTTAATTAATAATAGCAGATAATATATTTTTAATATTATATTATTAATATTATAATAATTAATATAAATACGGATACTACCGCCGGGTTTTTTTACTAAGACGATAGAGGAAGCGGCTGTAAATTATAATAGGCGGATGAATTTCTTTCTTAAGTTCTTATTAATCTACTTCTTAATAATAACAATTTCGATTAGAAATATATAGTACAACTGTACGTTAAGAGGGGTCACTCCTAACTAAAGTTTAATTTTATAATTATATAAATAGTAAGGCGGAATTTCCTTAATTAAAAAAAGGAGGAATATTACTACTTTATTAATATATTATTATTCTTCCAACTTTTTTAGGATAGTAATAATTTTATTCTTTATTTTAATTAAGTAATTAGTTTTATTAAGGAACTTTTTCGTATCTTTATTAGAGATTTTAATTGAATATACGCGCCGGATTATTTCTTTATAAAATAGCGCGTTTTTATTGAAATCGCCGGTAAGGTAAATTATTTTAGCGAGAATCGCTACTTTTTAAAACTCTTTTAATAAATAGGCATTAATTAAATTATTAATAAAAGGGTAAACGAGGAGGGGGAAACTTTCTTTATACTATTATTTATTATTATTTATAATATTAGCGACTATCCCCTCGGTTAAATTTATATCCTAAACTTCTACCGCGGTAGTTAGCCTTTCGATTTTAATATAATTCGTAATATATAGCTATAATTGCTAAAATTTATAAACAAAATTAAAAATAACTATATTAAATTCTCTAATATTATTTAGTTTAATAGAAGAGTCTTTATTGAAATTATAGTAATAGCCAGCTCGGGGGCGCTTTATATTCATAGAAATATATTTAGTTATTAAAATAGATATAGGGGTCGTAATATACTAGATTTTTAATTTTAATTAAAAGAGTAGTTATATTTATAATACTAATTTTAAATCCGGCTTTACTAATTATTAGTATTTTAATAGGGGGCGAAATAGGTCGGTAGCTAGCCCGGAGAGTAGGTAAAGTCGTACTAGTATTTTTTACTATAAAAAATAGTAGTAGCGGCGCTAGTAGTGCTAATTCTATTTAAATAAAGTTAATAGTTCTATCCCTTAGTATAAGCGTCTGTACTAGTATTCTCTTAATAGGATTAGTAACCCTATTCTCTAGGGTTATTATTAGTATCAATATTTTTTTAACGGGGTTTATAACTTTCCGCTTCGGGGCTGGTTAATAAATTAGAGTAACCTTAGTATAAATAGCTATAATTAAAATTCGGTTAGTAAAGGCTTTTAAAACTATTAATTAATTTTTAGAGAAATTAATAGGTAAATAATAACCTTTATAAATAGGGTTGGTAAAACGAATTTTATATTAGTTATAATCGATTTCGGGTTTGTAATATTATATTTATAGAAAACCTAAAATAACCAAATAATTCTTTAAAATATTATAAATTAAAAAGGTAACCGTCTTATTATAATATTTAATATAAAGTTTAGCCGTTACTCCTTTGGAGATAATACTTTTAATTACTCTATTAACGAGGACGAGCTTCTTTACTTAGTAGAGACGGAAATAGGGAAGGTTATATTTAATAATAAAAGAGTAATTAATAAAAGTAAATATAAAATAGTTAGAATTAATAAAAGTAATATAATAATCTTTATATAATTTAGTTACTATATAAAGAGATAAGAGTATTAAATTTGGGGAAGTAAAACTATTTAATAATTATATTTTAACCTCCTTTAAACCTTCTAACTCTATAGAATTTAAAATTCGTCTCTATAATAACAATAGGAAAGGCTTCTATATACGATTAAATATAGAGGCTAAATATTTTTTAGTTCGTTATAGTATTCGTTACTAATAGCGACGGTAGTAATAGCTGTAATAAGAGTAGTAGTAACGGCGGTAGTAGCGGGCGCAACTTCGGCGGTATAAACTTCCTCCCTATTATAATAGCCTTTACTTTTACCCTTACCCTTATTCCTCTTACCCTTATTATATTAAGGACCCTAGGTACTATAGTTAATAGAGGTAAAATAATTACGGGCGATATAATTATTGCTACTATAACAGCGGTATTTACCGTTATAAATATATTCGTTAAAAATATTTTTATAAATAAAGACGGCGAAGTTAATAGTATTAAAGTCTATTTTATTATTACCCTAACTAATAGGAATATTGTTGGCGTTATAGGAATTAGAAGCGTTACCTATATTAATATTAGTACTACCGGAATTCCTACTGGTAGGGGTACTATTAATAAAAATACGAATATTTATTTTATAGTAGTAGTTAATATCCTTCAAATTGTTAGCGATGGTGCGGCAGATTGCGAACTACTTCTTAAAATTATTAATTTCGGGAAGGTTATAATATAAAAGAACGTTACAAAGGCGTTTATTAATCTTATTATATAAGTAATAAACTTTTATAGAGTTATTAAAATTATAGAGATTTATTAAATTAGTAAATTCTAATTCGAATTCTACGAAGGATATATTCTTTATAAAGAATTCCTCCAAACGACGGCCGGTATCTATCTTCAAATTAATATTCTAAAAGCGGGTAATAAAATATTCTATAAATTTAGTACCGGTTTTCTAACGCTAAGAGTCCGTATCTCCTCTATTCTAAATAACGTCTAAATTATTTTAAATACCGGATAAGATTTCGGGACTTAATAGTATAGTAGTATAAATAATTTTAATATCTTTATTAATATAAAGAAGGGGGTCGTACTTCTATTAGGTCAAAATACGGAAACGTTATATTTTAAAGATCTTATATTTACAGGTAGCATTAACGTTTTCTTTACTAGTAAAGATCGGCGGGTTTTCTACGGTTTATTTTAAAAATAATATTTTAAAACTAATATTTATTACTTTAATAAAATTATTATATAGGGACCGAACGTTAGTACTATAAAATTTAAAGGCGGTATAATTTATATTAAAATCGTTATATTTCTTCTAGAGGGCGTTAAATTTAATTATTAAATTAAAGTAGTTAAAATTCTTCTAATTAAAATCGTTTTAAATTTTAATAGTTATTATGTAAGTGATTTTTAATTCGTTCTTACTACATTCGAAGTCGATAATAATATTTTTATATTAAGCAAGGTTATTATAATAAAGGCGGCCGAGCAGAGTAATAATCGAACGGAAAGCGGGATCCTAAATAAGAACGTTAATAGTATCGAAATAAGCTCGGAAGACAATTTTCTTTTCCTTACTATTATAAATACTAATAAGAAGGTTATTAATTACTATCGAGGGTAGAAGCTCGACGAGCGCGGTTTAATAAACGG